GGAAATAAGTCTTTCCCCCATGTTGGGCTCTACCCAAGGCCAAGTATAGACACATTCCAAAACTATACCATGAACTCTACCTGTGTGTGTAGCAAGTGCCCCAGGCAGGGCCACAAAGGAAGCCTTACTTTCTCTCCAGGCAGGTATCTTTACCAGGTGGCCTCCCTCCCACCTTCCTTGCTAGGCTTGGTTCATGCAGAGATTCAAGGGGGTGCACTGAAACTGAGCATGCTAAAGTCAGCTCTGTAAATGTTGCCATGACATGCCAGGCATGCAAAGCCTGTCCGTGTGCTCTGGCCTCAAACCATCCTCAGGCTCGCATACAGAACTGGACGTCTGACATGGTTGTGGCAGATGCTTTTGAGAAAGGAGCCAAGTGGTTTTAAACACCACTGCCCAGAGTGCTGCTCACAGAGAGCTCTTTCAAAGATGGCTTCAGATACTATGGGTAGTATGACACAGTCTGGTCTTGGCTATTTATTAGCTATGGCTATCAGTAGGGGTTTCCCTCACCTGTCAGCATCTCACCTTTCCCATAGGTGCCTGTGCAAAATAGACTTTGTATCCAACTATACCATGCCCCTAAAACAGGCACAGTAATCACAACTCTGCTAGAATTTGATTTTGAATTTAGATCCTGTATGCACTGAAGCAAAACCAGAAATGGATCCTTGACCATCAAAGATGGATTTGAGTGTTTGGGTGTATGTCTGTGTGTGTCTGTGTCCGTGTGTATCTGTGTGTCTGTGTCTGAATCTTTCTTTCTCTTTTTTTTTGAAAGGAAACCTACCGATCTCTTTTTCCTTTTTTTCTGGTGCTGGAAATTGAACCCAGGGCCTTGCCCTTGCTACATACACACTCTACCCCACTTTCCTTTTTCCTTTTCATTTTGAGATGGACAGAACAGACAGGCAGATCCTTCCAATCAAAATTTTTCTCTATCATTATTTTTGCTATAACCATCATAGACCCCTGGACACAGCTGGTAAGATTTTCTGTGCAGTTGTGATAAACATAATATGCTAAGACGTAAACCAGTCGCTTGAGAGACATCACAGGGGCCTGTCTCTTCAAATACAGTGAAATCTGACTAGGAATCTGAAATCTGAGGAACAAATTGGAATCTTGGCAGGTATCAGGGAAGGAATAACTAGCTCAGCAGTGGACGTGCTGTCATCTTTGGCCCATATAGGGCTAGGCTCTGCTTTCTTCAGTAAAGCTGATACCCACACAGTCAAGTCTGTGGGGCTGCCTGTAGCCCAGGTCCATGAGGCAGGGAGGCCCCAAAGTGTAATGATTACATGTAATGAGTCCATGGAGCACAGCTCAGAAACTTCCAGAGAGTTCCTGAGACTTGTCATTAAAAAATAGCAGATGAAGAGGACAAGGGGGTGACATCAGAGGAGTTATTTTAACAAGGGGGTCAAAAGCATAGTTTGATGCTTTCCAAAGCCACATCTGGATGTTGCAGAACTTGCAAGAGTCCTTTTAAATCCTGGTATGGAGAGATTTTCTTTATTGATTTTTCTTAAACTAGTCACTGAGATAGCCAAAAAGGAAACTTCTAGAAATGACCAGCTCATGAAAGCTATGTGTGGATTTCACACACACACACACACACACACACACACACACACACACACACACGCACACACACACACTTTTTCTTTTTTTCCTTTTTAGCTAATCCGTACTTTGAAGCCCCTCTGTCCCTCTTTCTCCTTTGCCTCTCTGTCTCATAGTCTCATGGTTGGCCCTCTGTTTCTGCTTCTGCTCATTCTCTGTGTGAGGTCCCTGTCCCCACTCCATCCCCACCCCATCAGGGTTCCTTCCTAACCTCTGTCTGCCCATTGCCAAGGCCTTTATTAGCCTTTCCATGACATTCTCACATCTCTCTCCACTTGTAGCACAGATCACCTTTCAGACTCCAGGCACATACAGAGCTGTCTGTGCAATGATCCCACAGATCCCTCCACCCAACCATACTGGAGTTCTTTCAGATCTGGAGGCGCTCTGGTTCATTTTCTTGATAGAAGAAATGCCTCATTCTGCTGGTGTGGACTGCCTGGGTGCCGTCATTCAGTTCACTGTTCTTTAATCAGAGCTGGGACCCATCACTACCCCCTGTCTATGGAACTCCTGGTGCTGCTGATTCCTGAGCCTCTCTTATATTCTGCAGCAGGAGTCGGCGTGTCCTTCCTCTGTGTCATCCTTCACTTGAATTCCACTATCACAACTTTGCTGACTCTGTCACACATGGTTTACCTGACAAGACATCCACTAACAAACTGCATGTACTACTGCACCCATGACTATTTTCATCAGTTTGTAGCTTAATATATTTTTTATTAATTTGATTCTATTTCAGTGGCATTTCAGAAGTATATATTACATATATGAATATTATATATCATATTACATATGATATATGTGTATATTATATAATAATTATGTCATATAATATATGATATATGTATATTATATAATAAGTACATCATATAATATATATTTGTGATAACATTTTCATGTATCTTCAAAACCACTAATTAGCCTTTACTAAATAATTGACCAAGAAGTTTGAGTTCTAAATCACCTCCAATTTGGTTTATTTCCTTCTTCCCTTTTTCTTTTTGTCATCATCATCTTTCATCATCATCATCAACCTGATTGATGGACAGGGTCCAACCACTTAACACTTGTCTTCAGAATCTTTGGGCTTCATCTAGTTTTCTCAGTTGTTTATTAATTGTGGAATTACAGTTTGCCATTTTTTTAAATGAACAAAACGTTTACTGTTACTTCTGAGGGATCTCACCATTCTTTAAACGGTCCTGTGAAAGGGATGCTGCTGTGACTAGCAGTGAAGTTGATGATAGGGGCACTGATAGACAGACAGGTCTGTATCTGTTGCTCTCTTAGCCTTCCCTAAGCCCTAGAGTAAGCATGCCAAATAGACTCTCTTCTTTCACACAATGTATAGAATTGCTAATATTTGTTTAAAAGCAGAGTTCTAGTAACTTTCCCAAGAAAATATAGTGGACAAGTTGTCCTTACACAACTATTTTCTAGCAGCAAAGACTAGACTTTTGTCCACTTAGTGGTAAATGATAACAGAAAAGACTCAGACTGGAGCATTGCACTGAATCATTACGACCACTGTCAGAAGGGTTTCCCAAAAATAGTCCCAGGTGGCTAGTCATGGTGAGTGACGTCCACACAGACAATGGACAGTCTTCATGAAGACTGCTGGAGGCTGGGTAGGTGTGATTCCTATCCTAGATGAAGCAGGGGCTTCACAATCCTTTAAAACTCTTCAAGTCTATGATACCAACTGTTCTGTTAATGTCCCCCGAAATCTCCTAGAAGTATCCTCTTACATTAGCTAGCAGAACTGGAACTTACCTCCTTCACTTGTGTTTATCTCCTATATGCTATACATCAATGGGAAACAGAAAAAGGCTGCACTGTCAGACATTTTAGCAAGTTTCGTCTTGGCTTACAGATGGGTGCCTTTTCTGTATCTTCAACATGATGGCAAGAAAGGAAATCTTTACATATAAGGCCCCCAATCCTGTTGGACTAGGATTTAGACCCCACCTTTATCATTTTATGTAATCTTTTCTAATTTTGCAGGGGGGTATTTATTTTTATTTTATTTTATGTATGTATGTATATATGTATGTATGTATGTATGTATGTATTGTGTATTACCTGCATGTATGTGAGTGCACCCGCGTTGTGCAGTGCTTGCAGAGGACAGAAGAGGGTGTTGGATCCTCTGGAACTGAAGTTATGAACAGCTGTTAGCTCTCATGTAAGTTCTAGAATTCAAACCTGGGTCTTCTGAAAGAGCAGCCAGTGCTTTTAATCACTGAGTCATCTCTCCCACCCCCAATTTATATAATCTTAACCACTTCCTAGAAGCCCAATTTCCAAATATTGCCCCAGTGAATCTTTTTTTTGGGGGGGGGGTACAATTCCATCCATAATGATTCTGGGTAATATGTAGCCTGGCTTTAGTAGAAGGATAATGCCACTGATGTTCTTGAGACCCTGAAATGTGTGATCTGTGAGAAGAGCATCCTTCTTCTGCTTTCTGGGTACCTACTGCTCCTCATGAAGAGGTGAATACAGAATTGGTTATAATAAGCCTGACTTAACACTTGGCAGGAAGGCTCGACATATGTGTTGCTTATTAAATAACAAGATAAATTAAAAATTTCTTTGGGCCGGGCGTGGTGGCGCACACCTTTAATCCCAGCACTCGGGAGGCAGAGGCAGGTGGATCTCTGTGAGTTCAAGGCCAGCCTTGTCTACATAGTGAGTTCTAGGACAGCTGGGGCTACAGGGAGACCCTGTCTCAAAAAAATTTCTTTGGGTTTGAGGACACTAATGTTGTTTGGGTAGGGGGACAGGTTTCTTTTTTTTGTCTCCCCCACCCTTTTTTATTTTTTTTTTTAGTTTTTGTGCATTTCATATAATACATCTCAATCAAATTTAGACCCCCCCAACCTTCCCCCCCCCCATAGATTCCACTACCAGTACCACCACCACCACCACCAGATTTCAGGTAGTCTGTCATTTGTGCTAAGTCCCATCTGGTCAATCATCTGTATCCAGATGTTCCTCAGTGTAAGCCCATCTACTGGAGTCCAGTTAGCCCATCCAGAGTCACTCCCTTAAAGAAGATCCACTCTCCCCCGCCCCACAGTAATTTTGTCTTTTTGAGAGGGACTCCTGTAGCCACGGGTGAACTGGAACTCCAGGCTGGTCTCAATTTCACAGAGACTCCTCTGCCTCTGCCTCTGAAGTTCCGGGATTAAAGATGTGGGCCACCACTCCTGGCTTGGGGCAGGTGTCTATATTATCTCAACAAAAGACCTCCTTGGGTTGGGTCAGAGCTAGATCTAGTGCCCAAACTTAGGCTCTTCCTCTTTCCCTTCTGCTGAAATAATCCTGTTTCCCATAGACTTTTAGTGACTACTCCATTTGTTTTCTAGGAAGCTAAAGAAACTATTTCGGAAGCTGAAAGATGAGACAGAACCCGGAGAAAGTGACCCTGACCATTCAAAACGTCCAGAGCAGTGGGATCTGGACTACAGCCTGGAGCCGTACACTGGCCTGACTCCTGAATACATGGAAATGAGTAAGAGTCTTCTTTCCCTGGTGGGAATTGTAAGCAAGGGTCTGTGGGGAGGGGCTGGGGCTGCCTGTGCTGCCTGTGCTCTTCTGTGAGCTACAGAAGGTACTCGCTGCTCCTTCAGGGATGCACAACCCCAGCATGGAGGGGTCTCTTCTGCTCTTCTGTAAAATACAATGTTTAGTCTCTCAAGTTCCTTCCTACAGTTTCTAGCATTGCTCAAGCTTAAAGGGAAATAGTAATGCCTGAAATTTAAGGACACGGTTTCTATAAAGGAAGAGCGAGGCAGCCCTGTGACACCCGGGCCAGGATGTGCACATCTTTAAAAAAGGAGAACAGAGGGAAAGTCCCACACTGATCAGATGGGACTAGATAAGGCAGGTTTCCCACAAAAGGATGAAGATGTTTAGTGGGATAAGAGGTAGATCTTAATAGAAGAACATCCGGTTATTTTCTGTAAGAAAAGAGAGCAGAAACATGGGCCAGTGCAGGCTGATAGAAGTTGATCACTTCAAGTGTGGCTTAGAAGACAGGAGTTCCCCATTATGAGTTTTCTAACTTATACCAGCTGCCTTCAACTCTTGACTTTGTGAGAATAATTCTTATTTTCTATTGGTATGAATATTTGAGAAGTCTCTTTCCATAACATGGAACCAAGAAATTAATAGGATAGGATACTGTAGCTCAGGAGCTCAGATCCAGCTCCCACATATTTATCTAGATATCCTAGAGTGACATCATTCAGAGCCAACACAAAAAGTATTTGATTCAATTATTTGTTTGGGTTTTTTAAAAAAATTGAGTCCAGCCAGGCATGGTAGCGCATGCCTTTAATCCCAGCACTTGGGAGGCAGAGGCAGGTGGATCTCTGTGAGTTCAAGGCCAGCCTAGTCTACTTAGTGAGTTCCAGGACAGGAGAGGGGCTACAGAGAGACACTGTTTCAAAAAGACCAAAAAACAGAAAAAAAATTGAGTCCAAAATCTATGCTTTCCTTTTCTTTCTTTTTTTATTGAATTTTTGAGATTTTCATGTGATACGTTTTGATGGTATTTAGTTCCCCTTCCTACTCCAAACCTTCCCCCAACTGCCCCTCCCACCCAACCTAATGCCCTCTCTTAGATATATGATATGGTCTATAGAGTCTGATTTGTGTTCCCAAATGTTCTTTGATGTGGGTCTATCTATTGGACCCACCAAGGGTTCCATCTCTGTAAGACACTGTCTCTTCCCCTCTTAGCAGCCATCAATTGCCAAAAGTTCCTTAAATTGGGTTGAGATTTCTTACCCAATTCCCTGTGTCTAGGCTGAGATGTTTTTGTTTGATTTGAGCTTGCATAGGACTTATGCATGCTGTCACCATTGCTGTGCGCTCATATGAGTAACTGACCAGTTGTCTAGAAGATTCTCTTTCTTTGTGGTCCTCCACCCCTGACTCCTCTACATGAATGCTTACAAAGTTATGAGAAGAGTGAATCAATTAAAACTTCTAGTTTAGAATACTTTATGATTTGGGGAGGAAATTCATTCTAAGGTTTTAGAGAATGAAATTGATACTGTAGATGAAAGAAACAGAGATCACAGAATAAAACAGCCACACATGCAACAGAACATTTGGAAATAGAGAAAAAAAAAAGAAAAATGTCTCCCCAAACTTCCCTCCAAATCCAGCTTTTAAAAGAGTAGTTTAATTCTGTTTCTTAGATGCTTTTTTTTATTAAGATTTTAAAAATAAAGCGGTCATGTATGTACTTATTTCTCTTGTTCAATTTGTATGAATAGATGATTTCCCAAATGTCTCATATTCAAAACTAACAGCTGCATAATAGTCCCAAAAATGAATTCAGTGGGGCTTATTTGCATTTGCCTGTCTTCTGATGAAAACTATGGAGGTTTGTTTTCCAACTCTGTCCCTATTTCAGTGTTCTCATACAGAGTACTCTCCCCTTTATGCATCGTTTCTTCCTCATGAAATACTATTGCATCAAGGTTCATTTGATCAGGGGTGAATAGTTGATCTAAAATATGTTCATTGTCTGGTTCTTGACTCCTCTTAGCACATTATTTTCTGAAAGGATGAGACCAGTTCCCCAAGCTCCAGGGATGTATGGCAATGCCCTTTTTAGTTGAGTACAAACTCCTCAACACCCTGTAGTCGTGTGATGTCTTGTGCACACTCATTCCAACTTGTGGAGCCGAATGTTCCAGACTCATCCTTAGCTTTGCTTTATGCAGTGCTTCCTCAGTGAAGGAAGCCAACCCCAGTTCCTCCTTGGTGGTATCATTACTTATTTGCTTTTCAGTCTTAGCATTACATTTGATACCCACACTAATGGGATCTTATCGAATTATGGTACCATTTCTCAAAGATCTGTTCTTCAATAGACCTACTCCACCAAGCTCCAAAGAACACTGGGGAGGAACTACAGCTTATTTATCTTCATGTCCCCCAGAGTCCAGGAGATTTCCTGGCACATAACAAGCACTCAGTGTGTAAGATAAACAGATGAGTAGATGAATGAATTAGGATTGAATGAATAAGCATGCTTCTTAATTATTGAGGAAGTTAGTTTGTTATAATAAACTTAAGAAGCAAATGAAGGATCGTTTTCAAAGTAGGACTTTGTAGAGGGTGGATCAGAGATGCTGTGATGCAGTTTCCTTTTCTGGATATGAATTTAAATTACAGATCTGCAAGGTGTCCTCCAGTAAGAGCAAAAAGCACATTTCAAAGAAGGCAACAACAGCCTCGTGGCCATGAGCGACTGTTGACAAAGGAAAGTAAATGGTACTAATAGCTTTTGGATAAGGAGAATTTGGTTACAGACCTGGGATTAGTGGGGAATCCTGAAGATAGAAAAGTTCCTATTTCACGTAAGGATGGAAGGAATAGTTGTAAAATCTTGATCATTAAAGGGCGTATGAACACTTCCCTTGGAAAAATGGGCCACAAGTATACAAGGCAGGTCATAAGACCATGGAGGAAGTGAGAAAACACAGGTGGACTTATTTAATTCTTCTTTTTATTTCTTTTAACACTACACTTCTGTTAAGCATCTAGAGGAAGGAGTGAGTATAGAGACCAGGACAGTCTCTTTACCAAGTCAGAATGGCAATGCTATTGATCGAGTCAACATCTCTATTAATATTAACACAGTCTTGCTTAGAAGAGGAAGAAGCTTAGACTTGCATGGGTTTTCTAAACTGAGTTCCACAGAAATGCTTTCATTTTTCTAAGAATTTCAATCTTTTCAGAGGCACGACTATCTTACTTCATGTTATATTTTATATTAAATATAAGAACAGTGTTTTCTGGATTATGTCCTTTTCATTTTTATTTCTGGCCTATCCTCTTCAATCAAAAACAAAACTGTAGAGTAAATGCTACCAAACTTTATGGAGCAATGTATGTTATGGTGCCAAGACCCCTGGGAAGGACCACTTAGACTCTAGGTGTTCCAAATTAGCTGAATTTATTTAGCTTGCAAGAGACTGCACTCTCTGGGCTGGGATTTAGAGAGTGTTGCAGCAACTCAGAGGAAAATAGAGGTTTTAAAGGCAAAAACCACATCCTGGGGAAACAGGCAGTTACTCAAAAATAAGCAATCACATGTTTGTTCCTGCAGGTGTGCAAGCAAGCAAGCAGTTACAAAAGCCAGATAAGCCTTAACTGGAACCTTATGGGTTTTATGGGTGTGTTTCTCTGTGGTCAGCTCTTCCTGGAACTGCTGGTCCGGGCCAGGGCAGGGATGGCTCATCAAGATGTCAGTCTTATACAAAATGGAGGAGCTCAGGCTATCAGAGTAAAGGATGCTTCGTTACACTCTAGAGTCACATCACAGCGCTCCTAATCTTGTGTTGCGTGCTAGCTATATATGTGACTCTAGCCTTGATGCTTATAGTCAGCCATGCCTAATTTTCCCACTCTGAAATGTGGATTTAGTTATAATATCACCCACTACCTGGCGATATGGGAAGATATCAGAGTTCTTGCAATCTGGAACAAAGAAATCGGCAGAGACAGAGTAGAAAGAGAGATTATTTATTTATTAAGAAAAGATATAATTCCATAGGAGGTACTGGCCAGAGCAGAGAAAATGAGTTTAATAACTCAAATGACACCATGTGCACAAAGAATGTGGTGTAGCAATGACTCTGGGACTCATTTGCACAATGCAGGCTGTTCTACACGTGCTCCATTGAATTTATGGAGTTCTACATAATACAACTTCCTCATTGTTGCATTGCATGTCTCATTAGCATGTTACCCATCCAGGCAGGATGTGTAAGTATATGTTTTAGTATTGAAATGCCTTCAAGACACTGTTGTACCTTTCCACTGGCCCAGTGGCTCACCCATTCTAACAAACTAAGGGGTCTAATTAAGGGGTTGCAGCTGGCAAGTTTCTCAGCCTCCCTCTTTGCCAACAAAAAGGTTTTTCTTCTATGCCAATTTTGAAGCCTTTGTGTAAGGTCTTCCAAGCCCTCACTGTTGCCCTTGTCTGCGGTGCTCACAGGATTGTGCTGAGAATTAGATGAGGATTGCCAAGTAGTTAAAGAGCTTGTTGACATAGTCCCTCAACAAACATTAGCCATGGTTATTCCTGTCAAGACTCCAATTTCTCGCAACTCTAGGTTTTCAGCTAAAAGCTGTAGTGAGCCCTGGTGGTTCTAGTCCCATTAGCATTAGAATTGGGTAGGAAACCTGAAAGAATGTGGAGACCGGAATCCATGGCAAACCTGAGTGGTGCATTCAGGAGTCCACCTCTACTGGACACATCTGGAATCTCCTTTTGTCATCTGTTTATTTAAAACCCATGGCTTTTGTTCCTTTTGTCATGCAAGACTTAATCACCATTGTCTTCCTACCTCAGGAATTCAATTACCCCTCCCAAAAGCTCTCTGCACCTGAAGACAGCTGAAATGTTAGGGCCCCTGAGGCCAGCACTGTCTAGCTGAGATGAATTTCTTCTGTCATTCACAAAGCCATTAGAGGAAATTTCACTTT